AGACCAGAGATGGTACAGACTCGTGGCTTGTTGTTTAATGTACTGAAAAGTACAGGATTCCCTCCCATCCCTGGACTGGCCTGGGTGGGCTAATCCTGTACACCTCCCCCCCACTCCCAGTGACCACTGTTCCACACCCAGAAGATGATAAAAAAAAACCCCCAGGATCTCCTGACAAACTGGGCTGGACAAAAAATTGCTTCCTGGCCCCAACATGGTGATCAGCATTTCCCTTGGTGTGTAAGAAGGGGCCACAAAAACTAAGCACTGTTGCAACCCTTCCTGACCTCCCTCCCATAATCTGCCTATGTTCACACAATCAGCATTGCTGTCAGATGGCCATGTAGTCTCTGTTTGAAAACCTCCAAAGGAGGAGAGCCCACTACCTCCCGAGGAAGCCTGTTCCATGAGGAACGGCTCTGTCAGGAAATTCTTCCTAATGTTTAGCCAAAAACTCTTTTGATTTAATTTCAACCCGTTGGTTCTGGTCCCACCTTCTGGGGCAACAGAAAACAACTCCGCCCCATCCTCTATAAGACAGCCCTTCAAGTATTTGAAGATGGTTATCATATCACCTCTTTGTCGTCCCTCTCCAGGCTAAACATACCCAGCTCCTTCAGCCTTTCCTCACAGGACTTGTTCTCCAGACCCCTCACCATCTTAGCTGCCCTCCTCTGGACACATTCCATCTTGTCTATATCCTTCTTAAATTGTGGTGCCCAAAACTGAACACAATACTCTAGGTGAGGTCTAACCAGAGCAGAGTAAAGCAATGCCATGTGAGCCAGACACTATACTTCTGTTGCTACAGTCCAAAATTGCATTTGCTTTTTTAGTTACCACAGCACACTGCTGACTCATATTCAGTGTATGGTCTACTAAGACCCCTAGATCCTTTTCGTACATACCACTGCTAAGACAAGTCTCCCCCATCCTATAATTATGCATTTGATTTTTCCTACCTAAAATGCAGAACTTTACATTTATTCCTACTGAAATTCATTTTATTTGTTTTAGCTCAGTTTTCCAGCCTGTCAAGATCATCCTGTATCCTGACTTAGTCTTCTACCATATTTGCTACCCCTCCCAATTTAATATCATCTGCAAATTTAATAAATATTCCCTCTATTCCTTCATCCAAATAATTGATAAAGATGTTGAACAAAACAGGTCCTAGGACAGAACCTTGAGGCACAGCTCTTGTCACTCCTCTCCAAGAGGATGAGGATCCATTCACAAGTACTCTTTGGGTGCTATCTGTCAACCAGTTACATATCCACCTCACAGTCATGGAATCCAAACCACATTTTATCAATTTGTCAACAAAAATATTATGTGGAACCTTACCAAAAACTTTACTCAAATCAAGATAAACTATGTCTACTGATCCAGCAAGGTAATAACTTTCTCAAAAAAAGATATAAGGTTAGTTTGACATGACTTATTCTTGAGAAACCTGTGCTTGGCTCTTAGTGATCACAGCCGTCCTTTCTAAATGCTTAAGGACTGTCTGTTTGCTGATTTGTTCTAAAACGTTCCCAGGTATAGACATCAAGCTGACGAGTTGGTAGTTACCTGGATCCTCCTTTTCCCCTTCTTGAAGATGGGGACAACATTTGTCCGTCTCCAATCTTCTGGCACCTCACCTGTACTCCAAGAATTCTCAAAAATTACATCTGTGAGTTCTTTTAGGACCCTTGGATGCAGTTCATCTGGCCCTGGGGACTAAGTTTCATTTGAAGAAACTAGGTGTTTATGTGCTACCCCTATGCCAATTCTAGACTGCAGCTCCCTTCACTCATTATGTGTTCTGTTTTTGCCATGTTGAGCACCGGTTCCCTCACAAGAGAAGACTGAGGAAAAGGAGGGATTGAGCAGTTCTCCCCTCCCTGTAGGGCAAACAGGACATGACAGTGTTGAAACATTTGCTCTAGAATATTTGCAGACAAATTTTACTAGTTGACCTAAGTTTCTGAACATTATGAAGGCTGGGAATCTCTCTCTCTCTCTCTCTCTCTCTCTCTCTCTCTCTCAAACCTTTTTCATGCATCCCAATCCATGCAAATACTCATAGGTTCAGCTTGTTTCCAGTTATGGAGAGTGTTACATTAGTAGCAATGTTCACAGTTTGAGAATTGCTTTTGTATTTGATGGAGTTACTGTTTGATGAATTGGTACCACTGCAGGTTGTATGTTATATAAAGGTTGAAGGGGGTGGTGCTACTCTCCATTTCCAAGCCAGTGCTGTCCACAAACTTCTCCGTGATCATGTGGCCGGCATGACTAAACGCCAAGGTGCACGGAATGCTGTTCCCTTCCCACCAAAGTGGTACTTATTTATCTACTTGTAATGTCTTGCTTTCGAACTGCTAGGTTGGCAGGAGCTAGAACTAGAGATGGTACCGCACTCCATCACATGACACTAGGGTCTCGAACCACTTTGCTACTAACCTTCCGGTCTGCAACTCAGTGTCATAACCTCTGAGTCACCATGACCCCTGTATGTTACATACCAATCTATATATCTAATAGCCAAGTTGCCTCCGGAGTGCGGATTGCTACATCAGCGCTCCGGGGGCACATGGGGGGGAGGGGGAGGTTTGTGCACACGTGGGCCAGTCCCCACGTGTGCACAAAATGCTAAAAGTAGAAAAAAATCGGAGGGATGTTTAAATCCCCCCGAAAGTGCAAGAGTGTTCCGTGCGCATGCACACGGAACGCTCTGTAGCTGACCTCGCCGCCGCCGCCATGCTGCCACCGCCTTGGAGCCGGGCGGGCGGGCAGAGGACCGGCCTCGCCGCCACCACCACCGAGCCCGGCAAAGGGGGGGAGGACCAGCCTCTCCGCCGCTGCCTCCGCCTTGGAGCCGGGCGGGGGGGAGGACTGGCCTCGCTGCCCCCGCCGCCTCCTCGGGGGACATCGAGCGGGGGGGGGGAGGAGACGGAGCTCTTCTCCCCCCCCCGCGAGTATCGCGGGTCCCCGTCTTGTATAGTACTATTAGTATAATGTTATGGTATTATTAGCATGAGCACAGCACTTTCAAGCACTCAAAGTTTTTATACTCATTATCTTCTTGCATGGCCCTGTAAAGATACCACAGTTCTGGGGGAGGGAGAGAGGCTGAAGCTATGAGACAGTGGTTTGTCTGGGGCCATCTTCTGAGTTCATGGCAAAGGCAAGATCTGAAACAGGCTCTTCATGGCTCAGAGATCACTCTCTCAGCCTCTAACAGCAATTACTTTACTATCAATACCACACTCGGATATATTATTTGGCCTCTAAAAATAACTATAACTTCCCTGACAATGACATACAGTGCCAGTTCATACAATACAAAGCCCTTGTGGCCACCACAGCAAGTTTGTTTTAAGCATGTACTGGGAGGTCTGTAACTGGGGCACCCCAATCATGGCTGCAGTACCTGTGGAGAAGGAGCTTCAGCCTTCCCCCCTACCATTTCCAAGAAATGAAATGGCCCAGAGAGTTGCAATGTAAGTTTAAAAATGAAGCAAACAGAATTCCCCCAGCAGCTTCTCATTTCAGTTTGCAAAACTGGTGGTGGTGGTGGTGGCAGGGTGGGTGGGGAGAGAATGAAGCCCCTTCTTCATACACATTATGGCTGCAATTAAAAACAGCCCCTAGGTGCCTGGGAGGCATAGAACTCTTGGTGCAATTGTGATACGATTTCCTCATGGTGACCAAGGACTTTGTATAATTTGAGTTGGCAGAAATGTAATTCCTGTTGTAAATCAATAATTTTAGTTGAATAAATTTGTGCTGGTATGTTGACAAAGCATTTTGCATTTAGTTCACCCCTCCAGGGGGACATGTGACATGGCTGTGTTTTCTCCTCCAAGGATCTTTTTCTTTGCATACCTTTAGATCACTACACCTGCCAGCTCATTTTCATAAGGAGTTAGGTTCATATCATGCTTATTGAAATGGGGCATCCAACAAGAACAACAGCCTTCTTTTCCAGAGCACCAGGGACACCGGGAAAGGATTAGATGAAGTGGAACATTTAAGAAGGAAGGGAGAAAAGTCCATCTCAAGTAATACATTGTACCTCTCAGCATCTGGAATTGTTGCATCTGCAGAAGTTACCATAGTGAAAATGAATTAAATGAAAAGCAGCTGTTCAAATATACAAAGTATTATTTGGCCAAACGAGATGTGGGACATCACAAGATCCATGAATGGATTTCTTGCACTATGCTGACTGGTGAAACAACTGCCAAGGAGCTCTGATTCAATTTGGTGAGCCAGTCTGGTGTAGCTTGGTTTAGTGGTTAAGTGCTCTGAGCCAGTTTGGTGTAGTGGTTAAGTCTGTGGACTCTAATCTGGGAGAACCGACTTTGATTCCCCACTCCTCCACCTGCAGCTGCTGGATGACCTTGGGCAAGCCATAGTTCTGTCAGAGCTGTTCTCTCAAGGACAGTTCTGGAAAGAACTCTCTCAGCCCCACCTACCTCACAGGGTGTCTGTTGTGGGGAGGGGAAGGGAAAGGAGTTTGTAAGCCACTCTGAGACTCCGAGTGAAGGGTGGGGTATAAATCCAATCTCTTCTTCTTCTGATTCAAACTGGGGCCAAGGCAAAAGTTTTTCAGCCTTTCCACCAGTACCACTTTCCTGACTGGAAACACCTCCTCTAGCTGCTACTTGCCCTGTTAGGGGAGTCATACCAATTGTCTACATGATGCCTGTGTGTTTCTTCAAATGGGGAAAATATCTGCTCTGAGGTTGGAAGTTGAGAAAATGTCTTGGGGAAAGGTGCTCAGCCCCACAGCTGCTATTTGTGACTAAAAACCCAATCACAGATCTCTTCGCACCCTGTTTGATTTATCCCCTTCCCTACTCAGCACATCAGTGACACACAGACACAATGCCCACATTTAAGAGTTTTGAAATGGGAAAAGCTTCAGTGAATATTAAAACATTACACCACCAGACATATCAGAGATGTTTCCAAAGTACAGGTGATGGATCACAAGGACTTCTTACCAGACTTGTTCTTGCATTCTATATCATAGCCTGTGATTGGACTGTTTCCATCAAATCCCATGGTCCACCTGAGGGCAATGCTGCGGGCTCTCACTTCTCGGATTTCTATTTCAGGAGGATCTGGAGGTTCTGGGCAAAGAGACAGACTCTGCTTTAGTTAACGGAAGGAAATGGCTGTGTGTAAGCTACAGCAATGAGCATGGTACAGCAAATACGGCTTGTCAACAGCAAGCCAACTCTCCACTTTCTACCCTTACTAAATTGTACATCCATTTAGCCCACCTAATTCCCATAAGGAGGAAAGGTACTGTTTTGTTTAAAATAAGAGACTCACTTTGTCTATGAATGTTATGTTATTTTAGAATCCCACATTAACAGTACTCCATATAAAAATCCTTCTTTTCCCCAGAGCAGATCTAGGCTATAAAATTCACATTATAGGGAGATGTCAGTATCGTAAATGAATCAAAGAGATAGTACTTTTAAAATGGAATATGTGTACGTCAGTGAGTGAGCAGTGTTGTTCCAATCTCTTTACAAGTAAGGTTGAACAGCATAGGCTTAAACCCAGTGTGCGAATAGACTAACATATCTACAAAAGAACATAACACATTCATAATAATGGAAGTGAAAGAATGGAAGGGAAGAAACTCCCCATTCTTTGTGTACGTGTGTGTGAGTATAGATTTATGCCTATATCAGATAAAGGCTAAATCAGTTGTAATTGTTTGTAATGAGCAGTTATTCTAGCTTAATTACTCAACCAGAATAAAAATAAAATAGATCCTGCATGTATGCACAAGGACACTACAGAAACATTTAGCACATATATTTTCTCATTTCTGACAGCTTATTTATATTACTTAAAGTACTACTCATAGGATTATATTACTATACATGAGAATCAGAATCCCACTTTTTCTGGACTTTTTTAAAGGACTTCTGTGTACTTGTAGGAACTGATGAAAACTGCAGCAGCAGAAACTAGAGCTTGGGAGAAAGGTGCTTTGTGAGTCCTGAGTAGGTCTGGCAACTTACATGCATGCTCCAAGGCATACAAGCATGTGAGCAAGTGTTGTATACAGGGCAAGTAGAGCCCCACGGCTGATTTATATTTCAGCTTGGCATTTGACAGGGTAACACCTCACCCATTGTAGGGCCTGCTGATCTCTGCCTGACTACCCCTCCCCTCCCTACCAGGAAATATCATAGGGGAACCCAGCCTGGGGACATTCTAGCTACAAATGTAAAAATATATTGCAGTTGCCAGGATGCTTTTGATTGATTAAACATGAAACATTTTGTTTCTAGATATACAACCGGCTTACTGCTCCTTCTTCAGAAAGAAAATCTTATTGTTTTTGCACTACTTAATTCTATTTGGGCTTTGGAGATCTAGAGCTACTAGAATGGAGATTTAGTCTCAATGATGTCAACCATGTTTACTCACAAGTAAGTATTTCATATTTTAGGCCTGAATATTAAGAGTAGGAGTGGCCTGAAACATGAATGTGGCCATGCAGACACTGCCAAAAAGCACTTACCTGCTCTGGGGTTTCAAGCAGTCAAAATGGCATTTATAGGCCTTCTTAAAACTCATGTGTTGGCCTGAGACATGAAACATTTCCATGTCGTGCTGATCAGCAAATGCTGGTTGTGTAAGGGCTGGCACATGAACTAAGAGGCCTTTAAATCTGCTAGGTGGAACCCCAACTCAAATAGGTGCTTTCTATTGGTCCCCATGTTGTCACTATCATGTTTAAATTGACCCCAAAGACTTAAATTGACTTCTCTCATGCTTATTGACACATTTCTGCCTTGATTGTTCCAGTGGAAACAGAAAGTAGGGGTTGGAATATCATAAGAGAAATTCTAATGTCCGAATTTAAGGCAATGTTTATTAAGGGACTAGAACCCCCCAACAGATTTCTGAGCATGACATACACTTACTGTACTACAAAAGCTGTGTTTTTTTCCTTATGTTGTCCTCTTCCTACCTTGCACAGTGAGCTGAATTATTCCACGGTCCTCCCCATATGAATTGATGGCATGGCAAGAGAAGAAACCAGAGTCTTCTCGCACCGTTGGCAAAATCTACAGTGAAGATTGAGAAAAAATATATATATATAAAGTAAAACTAATCTTCTAAATATACTCACACTGCAAGAAGTGATCCTACATTACTATTTCCTATGCACAATAAACCACATTTGATGCACATAATATACATCCCTAGAGTGAACAAACAGCAGTTTTGTGGCCATATGGCCCCAAATCAAAATAAAGGGGAATGCAACAAAACAGTACAGCTGCTAGTGTAGAAATGCTCAAATAGTACTCACGTACAGTACTTCTTTGCCTGTCTTTAGATTATATTACTTTATTTAGCCTCTATTTTGAGCAAAACATGATTGGTCTTTTCAGGAAAAAGCTATGCAGTTCAGTTCTGAACAGAATTACACCCTATAAAAACCACTGACTTCAACTGACATTGATGAGTATAACTCTACTTAGGATTGCACTTGACCTCACATCCTCCCTTTCCCCTCACATGAAATTCAGAAACTGAAGATTTCCTGGTTCCCAACACCCACAATTTGTCACAATTATCAGATGAAACAGTGAACTGATTTAATTCCAACCACAGTGGAATCCTGCTTTGTAAGCAAGAGAACAAACTGTAATTTATCACTTCAGATGTCATGACAAATGGTCATTTATTAGTAACCAGGAAGTCTTCCAAATCTGAGACAAACTGCATAAGAAAGGAGTCACTGAAACTCATGGATTTCCAAAGCTCATTCTTATAGTGGCAAACTATGTCTTAGTGTTACATTTCAATGTAGCCATGATGTTTTCAAATTGCTGTAAGCCAACCTGTGATTCCATCTGGAAGGAAGGATGGGGTATAAACTCTGACAGTAAAGTATAGCTGCCATGTGATTCCCAGGCAGACTCCAATCCAGACAGCATACAGGAACCTAACTGGCCCACCTGCATCAATGTAACTGCATCATGTACCTTCAGACAATTATCTGAGACCGATTTCACACAAGAGCTGCGCCGTGGTCGCGCCTCCCTTTGGCCCGTTTCTATTGGTCAATTTCCCACTCGAAGCCGCGCGGCCGCATTTTGACCAGCGCCTTTGCCCGATTTTCTCCGTGGTTTTGTGATCCTCAAAAAACAGGTTACGGATTGGAATGTTTTAGATACTATGCATTATTTACTAGAACTATTCTAGGACTCAATGAGCAGTCACTCAAAATGAACCTAACTAGGTAGTATAACATCATTGCTGGATGAAACTCTAGGAATTTCCTCTGATTTCTATGGTTGAGAACATAAAGACTTGGGGAAATTCTTATGGAGGTCATTTTATAGCTCTTTTTTCTCATCCCCCCTCCCAATTTCTCAATGGTGGGGGGACGGGGGATGAAGGCAGTCAATGGCAGCCCTAACATATACATGCATCCTAACATATGCATGCTAGCTTGATTCCTAGCCATTTGGAACATACTTGTAGACTTGATGTCATTTTGAATCTTGCCAGAGCTGGGTTGAGCTCTATCACTAAGAAAAGTGGTCTGATGAAGCCCTAAGAAATGGCAAAGCAAACTAGGCATGCCGTCACCACTTCTTTGGTTCATGCTACAGCTAGTCTTGAGCTCATACTGTCTACTGCATGCTTTCTTGCTTTCTCCTGGAAACTCTTCTCTGCACCATGAGCAGGTGACTGCATCATTCTGAAGAGAGACTTGTACTTTCAAGGATTATTAGGTCACTATTCAATTGGTGCAGATGTCATTTATGTATGGTGGCAAAACCATTTGTTATATGTATCATTTATGGTTGTAAGTAGAATTGTACAAGAAGACAGTAGTCTCAAGTGTGATTTGTACAGTGTGACAGTGTGACAGATTATTCTGGTTATCTGTTTGCACAACTGTATTCCCTATTTCCATTTTTGTGTGGTTGATCCCTAATTGTTCATGACAGACTGATAACATGCATCTTGCAAATACTGGCAGATCATTTGCTGTTCCACTGTGAGAGGCAACAAATTCTCTTGTAAAGGGATGGGCACAAACCAGGAAAATGCAGTTTGGTTTGTAATTTGTATCATGCCCGGTTCATGAACCACGGACCGTCATCAACTTTTTGTAGCTAAACAAATCAGTTTGATTTCTGAGGTTTGTAATGTGGCAGAATGCACCCCCCCCATGTGCTAGAGTCACCAAACTCTCAGGGGATCTCCGGCTGACTCTCCTCTACCCCCCCCCCCAAATTTGATGAGGATTGGAGGGCTCCCATCCTCCATAGTTTCTAATGGAGGGGGAAAAACAGCAAAACAAGGACAACAGAAGCTCCTCAGAACAGAATCAAAGTCCCCGAGAATCTCTGCAGTAGAAACTGGGGGGGGGGAGAGCATTTTTGCATGCCCAGCAGAACCAGTGCCACTGTGGCACTGCAAACCCAACAGGGCTAAGGTCAAGCCAGGAAAGTGCTTTTGGGGGAAATGTCAGGCACAGGTTCAAAAGTGTATAGAATGGACACCCTGCAAGCTACACACACCAAATACACACAGAACCTTACCCTTCCACCCGCTCCTCTACAAGCTCTCCAAGTTGGAGGCAGATTACATTTCTTGGTTCCTAGTTACACACCACACAAAAAGGTCTCCCAGTGCTCTCTCTGGAAAAGACAGCTGCAGTTACAAGAGTCTATGGAGTGGCTCAGGAACAAGCCAGTGGCACCAAACTCACAGGGAAACTTCACCTGGGCAGACACCCCCCCAGCCAGACACTGGAAATAAGGCAGAGAGACATCTAAGCCCCACCACTCAGCATGAACAGCCAACGCACCCAATAGCTAAGCCTCACTGCTTGGCATTAACAGAGAGACAGAGTGGCTCAGATCCTGAGTCCATATAATAACCAAACCTCGGTAGGGGAGAAGAGTTGACAATCAGGAGGGTATAAAATGTGGCTTCTTACCCAAGGTACCCAGTAGCTAAGCCCCACTGCTTGGCATGAGCAGAGAGATGTAGTATGAATGGGATTATAAAGATTTTTTTCCCTGACAATTCATATTTTTCTGGTTTTATTGATTTTTCTCCTAAGTAAGATTTTATTAGGATGTGATGAAAGCCTACTAAATGGTAGGACTTTCTCATGTAGGTTAGATTATTTTTCTAGCTGATGCTAGCAGACAAGAAAACAACATTCTTTTGGTATAGAAGATAGGTATAAAGTTAATGGAGTTTTTGTTGTTGTTTATGGTAAAGCATGGCAGTGTTTGGGTCAAAAGGGATTTTAGCTTTGTATCAGAAAAAAAACCTTTGTTTGGGTATGAAGAATCCTTGGCAGGTATTATTCAGGTTAGGTTAAGTAACCTAACCTGAATAAATATCTTCATAAATATCTTCATGACTATGTCATTTCAAGTATAAAATTTCATGTACTTCCTGATTGTGTTCAGAAAGCAGTCCATTTTTGATAAGCTGGTTTGGCCTTACTGTTTTCAGGTGTATTGATTGCAATTAAAACACTATGAACTTTCCTCCTCGTTTTGACTTCTTTTTTTGACTGCAAATCTATTTGTATAACAGAGACAAGGTAGCTCAGAGCCCTCTTAATACCCAAACCCCAGCAGGGGAGAGGAGTTCAAAATCAAAGTGTGGGCCCTCAGATGAGGAACGCAATAGCTAAGCCCCTCTGCTTGGTGTGAGCAGAGAGACTCAAAGGTGAGTCCACCTAACACTCCCAAATCCCAGCAGGGGAGAGAAGTTTACAATCAGGAGGGTATAGAATGTGCTCTGTTAGCCTACTTTTAACAAGTTCCCTGCCTCTCTGTCTAAGTGCCAACATAGGAGAGGGTGTGGAGATGAGCTGATATATAGCTTTCCAATATCATAGAGCAGAATGGGAACTCTGTTAATGGCAGCCAGCAGTGTCTGTTAAGCTTTGGAGGGCTACTATTGGTCTTTCCAAGGCTGGAGAATTCCATCACCCCTATTGCTTTGTAGTTTTGTAAACAGCTTAATTGAGCAGAGACAGACTGTCTGGAAATGTATCCATTCATGAACCTCCATGAACAGCATGAAAGTTTGTGGAATATTCATGCTGGTTGCCCTTCCACGAACATCACTTCACGAAACACAAACTGGCCAAAATTCTTGATGAACTTTAGTTTGTGAGCCAGTTTGCATCCATCCCTAGACCTAATTCTACTATACATTCTGAGATTGGCTTCCAAATGAGATCACTGAGGCCTCTTTGCTCTTCCAGCAGAAGGAGCTGTGCCTGGATTTCCCTACTTCAGACTGCAAGTGGGATTCATGATCAAATGCCTTCAGCACACAAAATATTCCCACAGAATAAAAACTAACATGTCATGGATAATGCAAACATAGAACTCTTAAGGGAGATAAGTAGCAGCTCCTCCTCCAGGGTTTGCCTGTATGATTTCTATGTCCTCCAGCCCAAACAACGAACAGTCTTGTAGTGTCTTAAAGATGGATAATTTTCTCATGGCAGAAGTTTTCACAAGCCAAAATATCAGTTTGCATCTGATAAAGTGCATCTTGTTCACCAATGCTTCTGCCATGATAATTAATATTTAAGGCACCAAACCCTTTTGTTATTTGGTTTGCAGTAGGCTCACAGCAACTGCTTGGAATGTATTTATCTCCTTGGAATTTATACTGTTCATTTTGTCCTGTTGCAAACCAGTAATCATGCCTTAGGCAGACTGTGCTTCCTGTCTAGCTGAGGTGTGTTATAGCTCTGGACAGCATATGTTGTACAGTATATGGACTTCTTTTTTATTTATAATATGTTGGGACTTTTAAAAGGCATATTTATAACAATGTAACATATTACATATATAACTAGATAGCAAAACTGTACCATGTGTTTCACCCACCCACACACTCATTCCAATATGGTGTAAACAAATTCCAATCAGAAACAAAAGGTCTCATATGCTTCCTCCCTTTCCTAATATACACTGTGCATGTATATGTACCAAGTCCTACATACACATTTTACATCAACCAGTCATCAAACGGAGGGCCTTCTTGGCTCTTCCATCTA